AACCAAACTAAAAAAGAGAGACGAGTTAAAGCAGAAGATATTTGTGTGTCAGTGTCCCAGAACATGTGATCCTCACCAAGACAGGCAGAGAAAAGGTCTGATTATTGTTGCTGAACTGTGATGGTGAACAGGCCGTCTCCTCTGTTGTTCCTAGTGTGACTGAAGTCTGTGTGATGAGTGAGGAGTGAGCCTCTGTTGGTCGATCGTCTCTAAACAGGATGTGAAGCATCTGTTCAGTCGTATTAAAGCCCTGAATAAACAGTCCTTCTGTATCCACTGTCTGTGTTTGGCTCCTCATCTTCAAAGACTCAACACAAGATGTTGGTCACATGACCATCAACATAAAACACAGGATTTGCTGCAGATGTTAAAGTGTGTTCTCCATATGCTGCTGATCATGTTTGTATGTTAGTACCTGTAGGATCGAGGAAAAGGTCTGATTCAGTTCACTAACCAGGCTCAGGGGAATAACTGGGATATTTCCCCAACAGAGACACTTTTCTTTCCAAGCTCCTTAGATTGAACTTGAACAAAAGATTTGAGGAGCAGAAAAGTTTTTAAAGATAAATTAAACATATTAATAAATATTCTGTTTATTTTATACTATTTAGGTGTTTAGGTTTGACAGAGGATTTCTAAGAATCACCCCGCAGTTCTTCAGCTTGAGACACCTGAGTTAGAAAACACAAACACTGCAGTTGTCTTTCACTCGCAAGGGCAGTCATGGACGCACGACCTGCGTCTCATCACTGTCTGCGTGCTTTATTTATACTTTTCTGTGTGTCTGTGTGTGTACAAAAATAACAACGTCACTCAGAGCAATGGGTTTTTCCCTCATGATTATAGATTATTGATTGGCTGGAATCAAACAGTTTAAAGAACATTTATTCATGTGGTAGTTTCAGCTGCTGCTCACAAATCTGATAACAGGGACAACTTAGTTCCACGAGGAAGACGTTTGTCTGGGCGCGTTGGCCTCGTGGATCATGTGACCGTGTTACTGTTTGGGCTCAAACTGATACGAGTTGTTTAGCTGCAGGGCAGGTGTGACAGGATGATGCTGCACAGCCTCATTGTTCAGGTGTGAGTCAGATTCTTAGTCTTTATACAGTCCTGTTTAATAACATGTTGTTCCAGTTGATGCATCACAGAGATCAGCAGAGGTCAGGTCTAACAACAGTAAAACAGTGCACTCACCACCATCATAATTCATTAATATATCACTGGACACTCTAAGAAGGGCAGTTTCGGTGGAATGAGCTCTACGAAAACCAGATTGCAAATGATCAAGAATGTTATGTTCATCAAGAGCCGCTGTGAGTCATTCACTTTAACCAAACAATTTTATACAGAACATATGCAATGCTATATAGGAATGTTTTCACATTTCTAAGAAAATTCAAATATAGCTGTTACCAACATACTGAAAAATATTCATGTTGGAACTGTCTCTGTGAAAAACAAGTCTAGCTTCAAATAATAAATGCATTGTCTGCTGTTTATTAGATAAGCCACATGCATTATGATCCCTCAAGACAATCAGATTCTGGTTGGAACAGCATTCGAAACTACTGAGCCATATTTTCAGCTTCTATGGCTAAAACATTTTCAAATGATGAGCTTCCAACAATGATTGAAACAGTAAGAGCATCTGGAGAGTTTGGAAACATCTCATTAAGAAAGAGAAATCAATTCATCAATCATTCATTTTAATTAGCTCAGACTTGTTGAAAATGCAGAGGAGCTGGTTGTGAACTCAGCTTCAGAGATACACAACATACTGGCAAGTGGATCCTGGAATAATCGGAGCTTCCATTTTTAAAGGACTGATGAGGAAGAAGTTTACAAGGAATCATTTAGAACAGTTTCAAACATCAACTGATTGAATCCACGAATCTGAAAACGTGTTTCCGAGTGAAAGAGACAGACATGTAAAAACTGAACTATCTGTTCAACAGTCAGTGTTTCTCTAACAGGAGGACACTCTTTACACTCTCAGCACAGGGACACTGAGGCACCAGGACCAATGATAAATCCAGGATAAAAAGTTTCAGTGAATGTGGTGTTGAAGGTGTGGAGGTGGATCAGAGTGTCAGAGGAGACTCTGTAGAAGGACAGAGTGCCAGCAGGACAGTCCACATACACTGCTGCTCTGTTAGAGACAGAGGAGGAGGAGGAGGAGGAGGAGATGGATGTTTCTCTATTATTGTGCCAGACAGAATGAGGACCATCATTAGAGCAGTACAGGTTCCAGGATAATTTGTTACTTCCAAACACACAGTCATCACTGCCTCCTTTCCTCCCGATTCTACTGTAATTCACTGATATGTAAACCCCTCCTTTATATTCAACCTCCCAGTAACAGCAACCCGTCAGGCCATTACTACAAAGAAACTCGGGCCAATAATCAAATCTGTCTGTATGATCAGGATATGACTGAACCTCCTTCCAGTCATGTGTCACCTTCCTGTTGTTGTCAGACAGTTGGAGCTTTGTGTTCACTGTGTTTGTGTCGATTGTGAGTTGACAGGAATCTGATGGAGAGAACAAACACAATCCAGCTGCAGTTATTGATCCATCATCTGTTCATTGATTGACACTTTGATGACTCCTGACATCAGAGATGTGAATGAGTAATGTGACCGTTTGAAGATGGTTGAATGTGTGCTGCTTTGTTTTGATGAATCACATTAAAAACCATTGGACTCCAGCAGCCTCCACCCTGAAAGGAGGAGGGGGGTCAGACCAGCACAGTGTCTTTCAGCATGCACACATGGACATTACATGGCTCTCATACACAGACTGTTAGACACTAAAAAAGGAATGGTAAATTATCTAATTTTTATATTGCACTTTTTTGCTCTTCCTTGACCACCCAAAACTCTTCCTAAAACATCCTTCTTGTCCCCATTCACACAGGAACTTTCCTTTTCCTTCAGTCACACACATTCACCCTTCAGTACATGCATCGGAAAACAACTTGCGGTTAGTATCTTGCCCAAGGATATTTGTCATGCATACTGGAACACCTAGGGGATAAATACCCAATATACAAATTAAATTTAATTGAACTAAACTGTTTGGAATTTAATATGAATGATTCAAATTGTGGGCTTCATTTTCTTTAAATTCCTCTTCTTTTTAGCTTAAAGGATAGCTTGCTACTCTTGCTACTATTCTTGTCCAACTTGAGGCAGGTTTTACACTGCAAATTCCTGCCTGCCTCAGAGCAGGGTTGCTCTGCTCAGGTGTGCAGGCAATTGATGACTGTCTGGGGCCTCTCCTTGAAGGACCACCACCAGTGGTTCGGGGGTACCAGAAATGGCCTTTTGTTAATGCCAGGTGGCTAGAGGCATGCCTCTGCAATGAAGGATCACCACCAGGAATGGGGTGAGTGATGGTGGTGCTGGTAAGGTACCAAAGGAACCAAATTTGGCAACAATTGTGTTGATTACACAAAATAGATCAAGTGGATCAAGTAAGTTGTGACACCTTCATGGAAGAGGAACACAAAACTCTGAAGAGAATAATTGCCTCATCATATTGGCCCGCTATACCAGGGGATGTGTACCCATGGTGGTCATCAAGCTTGGAATGTCAGCTGATGAATCAGCCAGCCATTCCAAAAGTGCTTTTGCACCCACTACATACAATAGAGGTCCTGTTTGAGTGCATTGGTACAGACCTCATCAGGCCATTTCAGGGGAGGGCAGTTATATTGATTTTTATTATTTCTACTGGATTACACAACATGATTGTGCACCATTTATTAAAAGAGAGTGTCCCAGGCACTAGATGCCATGACATTCTTCCTGCTTTCCCAGACCAAAAAAAAGTGAATTGGTTCTGAGGCCTAAGTTGGGATGATTGGGGTATGTGGCGAGGTGCAGTTTGTGGCTCAGCTGCCAGCGAGGGCTGGAACAATGGATTCAAGGTGTAGTTTCAGGCTAGGGTGGTTAGCAGCCAGTCATCATTATGTGTCTTCACCAAATTCAGTAGGATGCCAGGACCTGGAGATGAGATAACTGGAGACCAGAGCAGCAGGCATGCTGACAAGCATATACAAGAAAGTAAAAACATGAAAACAGAGTAAATATGAATTTTTCTTGACCAGCAGCCCCCAACCCCCGGGCCTCGGACCGGTCCATGAGTCGTTTGGTACCGGGCCGCGAGAGTTGAGGCTCAGGTGTGAAATGTATAGTTTTCAGGGTTTTTATCAGTTTTCAGCGTTATTTTGTTATCGTTTTTATCATTTTTATCGTTTACTCAGTTTTCCTTGGTCCCCAAAAAGGTTGGGGACCGCTGTTCTAGACAATCCCTGGAGTGTTTAAGTCTTTTTGTCACAGATGCACAAAACCAAACAAAAACAAAACAAAACAATGAAATTAATACAGCAGTGAATCAATTATTTTACCTTCTAGAAATATACTTTTTTTGTTCTAATTTTCTTCAGTAACTATACATTCCATATCTCAAAACCTGCGTATGATGTTATTGTTCATTGTTGTGAAACATTGTTGTGTCCCACAACTTTCTTCTCTTCCTAACCAACCAATAAGTGTTGGATTTTCCTTGCTTGGTAAGCAAGGAAATAGAATGTGTAGTTGTTTTTTGCTTAAAAACACTCTGCGTGCAAGTCCTCTCCTTAGAAAATCCACCTTTTTCATTTTCTTTCTGCAGGAAACATATTGACTATATTCAGGAATAGGGATAGTGTAAATTATTTGTCAACGATCTAGTTTTACTTGATTATACAGTTTGAAATAAGTGCTTTTGACCCAAGTTTAAATGGACACTCAATGAGGATGTGTTTTGCTGCTACATCATATAATTGGTCATGTGATTTATAGTTGCTGGCTTGCTGGCAGATCCATTGACGGGTTAATTCATTTTATAACACAGGACAACATTACCCTGTTTTTGATCACACACAAAAATGATTCCCTGAGATTCACCCAGTTCCCAAGATAGATATAATTTTTAAACTAGACAAGTTTTCTTTATTAATTAAAATAGTCCTGCATGTTTGATTTAACATCTCACATCTGCATGAAACAAATTAGAACCAAAAAAAGGACAGAGCAACTCTTTCCAGCTGTTCTCTCTCTTTCCGACATTTTCTCCATACCTGAGAGTGTCCAGCCTCCAGCTTCATTCCTGAGTCTCCTGGATGATTGTAGCTCAGGTCCAGCTCTCTCAGATGGGAGAGGTTGGAGCGCAGTGCTGCAGCAAGAGAAGTAAAAGCCTGAAAGAAAAACATTAATTTATCTCTGAAGAGTTTGCCAAATGGATTTATATATATATATATATATATATATATATATATATAATTTTATCCATTACTCTATTCAATTCAGTTTAACTTTGTTTATTGTGTGAGAGTTAATTACAGATAACATTAGTTTGAAAATATACCTCTATTTTTGAAAACTACAAACTACAGTATTAATCATTTGTGGGGGTTTTTAATGAGATGAATAATTTTACTTGGAATACATGGCCACTTTCTAGTCCATGTCATTTCTCTTGCTACACCATTTTGAAACAACTAAAAGCTTTTCAGCAAAATCCAATTCTTAAAGCAATAAATGTATGATTTAATTTTGGAACATCACTATATTAAACATTAGTGATAACTTTAGTACTCCTAGTACTGGTCCCAAGCTGAATAAATGGGTAGGGTTTCATTAGGAAGGGTATCCCACATTCCATGCATTCTCTCTGGGTCCTCCATGCTTCCTCCCACCGTCCAAACACATGCAATTAGTGGGGTTAGGTTAAATGGTAATTCTAAATTGCCCCATTTGTGAGTGCGAATGGTTGTCTGTCTATGTGTTTGACTTATGACAGGCTGGTGACCAGCCCAGGGTGCTTAGTGGTAGCTGGGATAGGCTTCAAGGATAAGCAAAAGAGGATGGATGGAGATCCATACTGGATCAGTGAGTGCCTGAATTAACAATGTGTTAGGAGTTGGGTTCTGGTTATGTGGTGTTTTTGTTTGTATGTGTTTTTTGGTGCCTCCCCTTTTGTATAGGTAGGCGGGGCAGTGAGTCACTGAACCTGGCACACCTGTTACTCATCAGATGCTTTCCTCAGAAGTGTTCTTTAGGAGCTACCTGACAGAGGACTAGTATCGGAGTATTGGCGTTTTTGGAGCGTCTGAAATTCTGCCCCTGCCTGCTGGAGCCCTTGGATTATTTTGGTGACTGTAAGGAGTTTTGTTTCCTCCCTAGGATTTTGCCTCAACTGGTTTTTTTTCCATCTGGAGGTTTTGGCATCAAACAGTACCAAGTAAGCTCTCCAACTCTCGGTAAAGTGTACTCTAAGCTTTTCTCGGTTATCAGGCAAGACCCTCCTAATTCTCGTCCCTCTCCTTTTTTAGATCGAGTGCACTACCTGTGTGTGTTTTCGTCACCTGCACGTCCTGGCTCCGCGTCCCCATTCATACACTGTTGTATATATTTTGTCCTTGTAAATACCTCCCCCTCACTGCCTCTGTGCGTTCTGCTTCCTGGGTCCAACTGCATTTGCCATAACACAATGACCACCTCTAGTGAAATGTTCATTTACCATTCACATGTATCCTGGAATGCCTAGAACTATACAATAATGTTATTTATAAAGCGCTTTCAAAAAAAAGTGCTGAATAGTTGTTTAAAGTTAAAAAGATGAATAAATAAATAGTAATATAGAGTAATACAAAGTAATACAGAAAAAACTATACAATTAAAAAAAAATGATAACAACTTAAAAACTGATAGGCATAGAATTAAGACACATAGGATAGGGTGAACAAGTGGGTCTTTAACTTAGCTTTACAAACCTCCACAGAGCATGACTGCCTTATACAAGATCAACAGGACACTAAGGGCCTTCACCAGGAATTCATCTGGGATGTGGAAAACAACTCTAGAGGCTTATTTCAAGCCAGTTGCACAAGTCACCATCAAGTGCAGGATTTGACAAAGACATGCACTGTCCCCACTGCTGTTCTGCATACGCCTGAATCCCCTCAGTCAACTCATCAATAAGACCGGCTATGGATACAGACTATGGATTAGAGCAATCGTTAACCACTTGACCCACTTTCTAGCATGATGCAGGTAGTGATGCCGTCCAGCTGAGTGCCAGGAGTGAACAAGACACAGATTCACTGATCCATTCCACTAGCATCTATAGCAAAGACATTCATACACACTGGAGAAGTTAAGTTGGATAGTAACAAAGAACGGGAACATTAGAGACAACGAGGACAGGTACAGATACCTGGGAATCCCACAGGTAAATGGTAAAAATGAAGAGGCTGCTAGGAAAGCTGCAACCACCAAATACCCAAAGATAGTAAGGCAAGTTCAGAGGAGTCCGCTGAATAGGAAGAAGAAGTTCCAGAAAATCAACACCTATGCCCTGCCAGTCATCAAAGAGGAAATAGAAGTCACTGTCATCAAGACAAGCAAGAAGTTTTTCATCCAATGCCCAGCATCCTAAAACTGTACACGAAGTGGAGGAAGGAAGCCTAGGTCTAGAGATTATCAAAACTGCTATTCAGGATGAAACAACAAACATCCGTGAGTAAGATACTCACAACTAATCAGGTGCTTAGTGATTACCTCAGGCAGCAGAAATCCATCCAACAGCAAGAACATGAGCCATCATAGAAAGATAGGCCCAGTGGCAGTACCAGTGGCAGAAAGAAGAAGAGGCTGGTATTAAAAACGTCTACCACTGGCTGGGAAAAGCTAGACTGAAGGACTGTGGCATGTAGTTACAGTCTGATAATTACACTCTGTAAATTTAAAATAATGAACAAAATACCCAGACAAAATCATGATCATGAGTGAACACCCTGAGACTAGTAAACCTGCAAGAGGAGGGTGAAGGATGAGATCTATTGTCTTATTTTGGTAAAAATGACATTGAAGGTGGTAGATGTTGACAGCTGAATTATTGTGGAGAAGATGCAATGGATTGAGCTAGACAGCGATGTTGATGTCCCAACAAAAAGAAAAAAAAAGTTTATAAAATTTTCCAAGAAGGAGAGAGTGAGACTTAGATTTGAAAAAAAGAAATCCTATGCAAAATAAGGAATGTGAATTTATTCACCAGCAGCATATTTAGAATATAATCAGCATTATCAGAATATTTATATATGATACAGTAGTTGTATCACTGAGGTATTTTAAGCTGTTCTGAAACATTAAAAACTGTTACTTACTTGATGGTGAGTGCTGTGAGTCACTGTATTTAATAAGTTTAAAGATTTTGATAGGACCAGTGCACTGGTTGGGTTCTTTGAATTATGCATGTCTGTTTTTTTTCTTAAATATAAATGCTAATTTGAAAAATAATAGAAACACTACAAATTTACTTACAGAGCTTTGCTGGAGGCTTTGACCACTGGCAGCAGCCTCAAAAGAGCCTCCTCTGAAGCAGAGTATTTCTTCAGGTCAAACACATCCAGATCTTTTTCTGATGACAGTAAGATGAAGACCAGAGCTGACCACTGAGCAGGAGACATTTTATCTGTTGAGAGACTTCCCGATCTCAGGGATTGTTGGATCTCCTCCACTAGAGA